CTGAATGATTTTCTTGTTCCATTCAACTGAGTTACAAAACTAATGACATCTTATTGCAGGATGAAGAAAGTAACCACCCTCACCAATTCTCAGTAAATATTACCAACCTGACAGTTTTATACAAATGAATTACATTAATATCAGTGAATAAATCCAATATTCTGACTAAAAATATTTTTAAGAGCAGAAATTGTTAAGAAAATGCAGTAGGAAAAGTAGGATAAACACAAGAGGAAAACTAAATAATGCTTTGTTTGTTTGTTCATAGAAAGTCAGATTTTTGGGTGCTGTTGCGTTTCTTCTGCAAACCTCATCCAGGTTCTCTGAAGAAGCTGTTTTTCTGGTGCTATTACCCCTTTGTCAAATATTAATTCTCCTTTAAATACTAATAAAAATATCTAAGATATACTAAAGTGTGATGAATTTGAAATCAGATGAAAATTCTTAAATGGTTTTAAAAAGTATTTTTTTTTGAAAAATCAAATCACCAACAGTTGTTGTGGCTGAATTTTATTAGCATCCTTTGGACCATGGCTATCTTAGGTAACAAAGGTGCTGAATTTCCAAAGACGCAGAAAACATCCAGCAGTTTCTTTGTACTCACGCAGTAAGGTGATGTCCTCTTTATTCCCTAGAGGAAAGGTATCAAAGGTAAGAGCATTCCAAAACTTGTCTCAGTGTCCAAACTTAGGTTAACCGAGCTCCTGCTTCCCCAAGGAACAAATTTCCTCCGTGATTAGATCAACTTCAGCTTCCCCCTTGCTCAACACTCAGCGGACTTTAAAGCACAGAACCCACTTCTCCAGCCGCTAACGAAGGAACGCTACCGCGCGGAGCCAACTTCTGCACCCTCCCTGCTCCTTCCTCCGTATCACTAGTACATCTCCCAAACCAATCTTTAGATTACCATCCATGCTGTCGGACGGTAATCTAAACCACAGACTCAACAAGGAACCAGGGAAGAATACATCCTGGTAACCTTCTCCTCATCAAGAGCCTGGTGACCGAGGCCCTCACAGGGAACAGGGCAGCCCCTGAACTACCTAAATGAAACCTGCAACGTAAATCCTTAATTCTTGATACCCCCTCATCACTGAATTAAAGAATTTACCTCTGCCTCTCACCATCTCCTCCTGGTGCTGCTTCGGTCATTGTATATATGACTACACAACTGATCTCCGTCATCGTATACGACTAAATAATAACTGATCTGCAAAGAGCCTGCTTCTATGGACAGTGAATGAGACATTTACGGAAAATGTAGAAGAGACAAATTAAAATTCCTCTTCTAATTTACATTTATTTGTTTATAAATTTTACATCTATATGTTTATAAAAAGTGGAATAGCTTCAGTGTGGTATTGTAAGTGCAACAGACCCTCATTCCCAGAGGACGGACTTGAACTTCAGTCTTTCACACATCAGATGACTGTTTCTGTCAAAAATCAGTATTTTCCACTGCAGAAAGTTTCAGTAGGAAATTTCTATTTTAACAAAACAATAAACCTATGCAATACTTATTTTGTACCACACTTACAGGAAATGACCGTCTTTTTTGTTTGAAATATCTTTGTAATATGTATTTGTTTTATTTTAATTAAGCTTTTGTTACAGTGTTACTGCTTTATATTATCACATTTGCCTTTTTCATACTTGTTTTTTGAAAGTAGGTCTTTTACTACAGTGTTTTAACGTATTTACACATATCTGTCTCTCACATTGTATACACTTTTCTCCCTCCTCCTTTTCCTACAATCTGTTCTCTATCTAGTGGCTTGTTTGTTCTCTTCTTTCATATTTCAAAATCTCTTTTACACTATCAAGTTTGAATTTCTGAATTAACACATTAATCTTACCTCTTCACATAAAACCTCGTAAACTGCTTCCAACACCTATTACACAGAAGACTGAATCTACACAACACAGTTTGATATAAAAGATGGAAGGAGATGCATTACCTACAGGAACTACCCAGATGAAAAGAAAAAACACATTACTAGCTACTCGAATTCCCACCAGGTATTTCTTCTTGGATCTTTTCTTTCCAATGTGTATCAGCCCCAAGCCACTAGAAGCATGATAAATTTTAAGCCTTTAAATTGCTCCCTTATTCCACACATGAAAAGTTTGTTGGTTTGTTTTTTTTTTTTTTTTTTTGAAAGTGTTGTAGCATAGTGAAATAGTTTCTTTTCTTTCCTTAACTCCCTGGTTAGGAGAGCACTATCAGTTCATTCTGCTCCATCCACTGCTCACTCATAACTCCAGCTTTTGCATCCCTGTTTTCAGTTTTTCTAAGAAATTAACCGAAAGTTGCTTGTGGTAGTGTCATCATTCTCCACACAGAAAAAGCAGTAAAGAAAAAGATACGTTTTTGACCTACCTAGAGGAGTTTTTTTGTTTGTTTGTTTGCCTGATTTTATTTTAAGGAACGCATAGGTGACATTTCTGAAACAGTTTCTGCACAAAGGCATTTAAGCACTACTTTTTCAATTTTAATTAAAAAAAAAACCAAACAAAAAAAAGAAAACCTAGTCTCCAGCAAATGTTTTGAACTACCTGCATATGTTTCATACACACAACAGATCACTGGAATTTTCAAATCCCAGATACTATTATCCACTTCAAATTCACACAGTTTATTATATTAGAAAAACAATGCATGTTCTCCTGTCATCAGCCCTGTAATCTTATGCTTTGATAAGGTCTGCTGGTTTCATTCAAGGATGAGACCTCCTCTTAGAAGAAACACTGGAAGATCAAGGAAAATAATTCCTTACATCAAACCGGCAACGTTTTATGAGGAGTTACCACAAATTTCATTCAGACCATTTATTGCCTAGGCCAGTTATTTTCACTTTATAAGAGACAGAAGTGCCTAAATCAACTAGAGGAATGAACACCAGAAAACCGAGAAAAGGATGCAATTTTTATTATTATTAACTGAAACTGGAGTCCTTAATATTCACTCTACCATAATTTCTTGCATTTGGAAGAGCAAGTTATATGACCTGTACATGAAGTAGACATGATATCAGCATGTAACTATCTGTATTCTCTTTTTAGTCATAATATAATAATTCCAAATACCTCCAGTGGGGTTTGACTTCCATAAAATACTGCCTTATCTAACCAGATATACACCCAGTTCCCGCTACAGCAATTACAGGATACAAAAAAATTGTACTTAATATAATACAATTGAATATGATCTAAACTTCATTTTTCATGAAAAAAATAATTGCAAATAGTATGTGTTCTAAACTTGTACTACGTTTACCAGAATTTTAAGATCCACAAAAAAGGAGATTGCTTTTTACAGTAGCTGGAATTACTCAACTAAAGAGAACTACGAATTGAAAAACCATGCTAAGAAAGAAGTCAAAAGAGAAGAGCACAAAGTCTGATACCCTAACATGATCAAATGATTACATCTTAAAGAAAAGATATTTTCTCAACAAACTGGATTTTTTCCTGTTTTTTTTTTTTTTTTTTTTTTTTTTTTTTAAAGATGCATTAAAGAAGCATACAAAATGCAGGAATACATAGTATATTTTTGAGGATAATAACCATTTGAGGGAACAGACATCTGATCTCTGTCACACTGGCACGATAATTCCATAAAATCAATAAAAATAACAAAACAAGAAAAAGAACTATAACTCTCCTCTACTAGAAATAATATCTTAAAGATTATCTGTTAATTTAGAGATAGTATTCCAGTTTTAAATGCTCAGCCTCTCACGTTAGTCAAGACAGCAGCATCTCTAGGAAAGAACAAAAATGCAGGCAATCTGAGCATTGCTACAAAAATTTAAGTACAGCTCTTTGGGTTTCTTGGGAAAGGTTTTGGAACTTCTTCTCTAGAAATTAACCTCCTACACTGATCCTACCACACACCTATATTACACACAATAATCCTAAAGTATTTTTTGCTCTGCCTCTGAGTCTTGATTTAAAATGAACAAAAACTTTACGTTAGCAGAAGGCAAGGATCGCCTTCACAAGACCAGGTTTCTTTTTCACACAAAGTGCAGTCTGGTTCTTTGTTAGTGGATCATACAAAATGAAAATAATTTAATGGCCTAAAGTTTTAATATGTTTTCTTTATTTGCATCATTAAAACAAAAAAAGAAAATGTTTGAGGAGACCTGTTTTCCATACTGAATACTTTAAAGCCAACTGCAAAAAGCTAAACTTCATCTAGCAAAATGTGTAACCATCACAGTGACAACACTGATATTTAGAGTAGGACATTAGCTTAACTTGGTAAATATACTAGAAATACTGAGTCTTAAATAGTCTATTCTACAATTTACTACAGGAAGTTTCACTTAGGTAGCAGGATGCAAGAGATTAATTACACCTACAAAGTTCCAGTGTTAAAAACATTACACAAATTGTGCAGTCTCTCACATTGATGTGAAAGTAACAAAATAGTGTCCATAAAATGTAAATGCTTTTTACTGTCAAGTATTGATAGGTGAATCAGAATGAATCAGTATTCAGTGCAAAACTGAAAAAGACTGTGCCTCTAATAAATTCAGTACAAGCCTAGCAAAAAAGCCTGCTGTTATCATGAAAGCTCATGTTATCATGAGATTACAACAGACGTTGAGTGAGAATACGTACAAATTTAATGAAATGTAAAAGAAAACACTTCAAATCATAACAAATTTCTGTAGTGCCTTCTATTGCATCTCATCGCCTGCTAAGGGCTCTTGTCACATTAGCTGCCATATTAAACTACATGGCAGTACCGCCACAACAACATGACATACAACTAAAATTTTTTTTACTGTAAGAGAAAAACTTGGTTGCATCAGAAAAAAAGTTATGAAAAAAACAAGCCAGTATTCTCATCATAAATAAAATTATCATATAGGGAAATACCGAACACTGATTAATAAATTAAAACCACATATTTAGAGCTCTCCATACACAGGTACACACATACACATGCATATGCACACACAACCGTACATACATCCACTTTCGCTTACCTCAGTAGCTCTCTTTATATATGGTATCTGCGTGCCACTGTCCAGATCTTCATTAATTATAAGTCTCCTAGCCCACTGACCTGCTCTGACCACACCATTACCATGAATTAGAACCAACACCTTGTCAGGATTTGTTAATGCGTCTTCACTCATAAAGATAAAGCTCTTTGGTTCACTCTCTGTTGCATCAACCTGCAATGACAGATGTAACATGCACTTTCATGCATCAATAAAATTTTTAAAAAGAAAATCTGTAGTTATAAAGGTAGCCACCAAACTGATATAAAAGCTTTCACCATCTAACAGCTATTTGTATACTTATTATAAGGATGAATTTGTACCCAGTACTAAATAAAAATTAAGCAAAAGTTAATATCTGTGCAATGTACCTTAGAAACATAAAAATATACTGCAGTTTAGAACAGTAATCCAAGGGAGATATAAATCAAAAAAAGGGGGTAAAAAGTATGCTAAAGCTTTGAAACATAAGTTGTTTACACAAATTTACTGGCAAAAAAGAAAGTCCATAAAAGAAAAATCTGTGTGGGGGGGAAAATAATCAAGTAATTTGTCACCTCTAATATGCCTGAAGCAATAATAAAATTCTTACATAATATGAAAAAATCCTGGAGAGTTCTATCTCAGCCACCTCAATGTAAATACCCAATAAGCCACGTATAAGCCAGTACTGTAAATCTGTCTATTATAAATTTAATAGGATAGGCCTAATAAAATATAGAAATCCAATTTGGGTCTAAATAATTGCTTCATTAAGAGTCCTGCACCTGGGTCAATGCTTGCTGTAGGAACAGACCAACAACCAGCTCTGATATTCAGTAAACCATAATCCAATTCCAAGTTTTGTCCTTACTCCAGAGGGTAAAGCAGCACTTTTTGTTCAATAAAACCAGAAGTTCTATAAAACAGGTCTACACTTGGTTTAGCAAGCCAGGCTCAACGCGAAAGAACCGTGCTGGTATAAACAACATGAGGCCAGGAAAAAAACATGCTGTCTTCTTGTTCTTCCCTTTCTACCATATGAATACTTAGAAAAGGAAGAACGGAACAGGCAAATCTCCCTGTCCTACCGTACTCCACACCCCACGACCCACACAGGTTAATTGTACAGCTGCTAAGAACAACCCTGGATTGTTTTATGCTCTGCGACAGTGATGAAAGGCAAGTTGGGATATAAGCCTTATGCTGAGACAGGAGGAATGGATATTTGGATTCATAGAATCACAGCATGGCTTGGGTTGGAAGGGCCCTCAAAGCCCCCCCAGTGCCCCCCCTGCCCCGGGCAGGGCCCCCTTCCCCCAGCCCAGGGGGCTCCCAGCCCCGTCCAACCTGGCCTTGAACCCTCCCAGGGAGGGGGCAGCCACAGCTGCTCTGGGCACCCTGGGCCAGCGCCTCACCCCCCAAACAGGGAACAATTTCTGCCTCAGAGCTCACCTAAATCTGCCCTCTGTCAGCTTAAAACCATTATCCCTTATCCTATTCCATCACCCCCTGACCCAGAGTTCCCCCCCCCCCCCCCCCTCCTGCCCCCCCTTTAAGCCCTGGGAGGCCACTCTCAGGGTCCCCCCAGAGCCTTCTCTTCTCCAGGCTGAACCCCCCCAACTCTCTCAGCCCGGCCCCCCAGGGGAGCTGCTCCAGCCCCCCCAGCATCTCCGTGGCCTCCTCTGGCCCCGCTCGAGCAGCTCCGGGTCCTTCTGCTGTTGGGGGCCCCCGAGCTGGCCCCAGCACTGCAGGGGGGTCTCCCCAGAGCGGAGCAGAGGGGGACAATCCCCTCCCTGGCCCTGCTGCCCCCCCTGCTCTGGCTGCAGCCCAGGGCACGGGTGGGTTCTGGGCTGCCAGCGCACGGGGCTGCCTCACGGGCAGTTTTCCCCCCCCCCAGCCCCCCCAGCCCCTCTCCTCGGGGCTGCTCTCCAGCCGCTCCTCGAGGGCCCAGCCTGGGTCTGTGCTGGGGATCGCCCCGACCCACGGGCAGGACCTTGCCCTTGGCCTTGTTGACCCCCATGAGGTTTGCCCGGTCCCCCCTCTCCAGCCTGCCCAGGTCCCTCTGGGTGCCACCCCTGCCCTCAGCGTGCCCCCCACCACACAGCTCGGGGTCGGGGGTGAACTTGCTGAGGGTGCATCGATCCCACTGCCCCTGTCACCAACAGAGATGTTAAACAGCTCCGGGCCCAACCCCGGCCCCCGAGGAACGCCACTCGTCACCGCTCCCCACTTGGACATTTTGTTGTTGACCGCAACTCTTTGCGTGCGACCCTCCAGCCAATTCCTCATCCTCCGAGTGCTCCATCCGTCACATCCATCTCTCTCCAATTCAGAGACAAGGATGTAGCGTGGGACGGTGTCAGATGCTTTGCACAAGTCCGGGTAGACTTCTGCAAATGATTATATCCGTTTTTCTCTCATACATGGGTATGTATTCTTAATTACCCTTACCTTAGGAAAAATTAATTCTGCATGGATCTCCAGACTTTTTTAAATGCAAATTGTACTGACTACTTTTTTAATTAAGTCAGTGAGGCTACTTGAACACAAGTAGTTCCTAACTGGAAGAGTGGTCACATCTCTCTTCAGCATCTGCCATCCTGCTGAAGACCTTATTCCCTGCTCCAAAATGACTTAACATCTCACATATCTCAGCTTGCACTTTCTGAACCAGGAAATGTACTCACCTTCTCTCACACTTTGTGTGAAAATAGAAAACATGGTAAAAAATACATTCTATTTAAGTCCAACAGGTACCACACTGGGGCTACACTCAGATCACGTTGCTGCTTCTGAAGTTGCAGTATTGATATCTTAAAATTTAACATGGCTTAGGTAAAAAGTCAGATAATACCAAACTTCAGATAGTGCTTGGCAAGATATAATTGACTTTTGCACATAAACTGAATACTTTTGAGACTGTAATTAAGAAAAAACATTGTGAATTTGTATTTACACAAGGATAGATGTGTGTTTTAGTATTTGTAAACTAAATTCATGAAATACTAGCACTTAGCAATCTTATGCACTGAAAGATACAACTATTTCACACTTCTGCATATACGTTAATTTTTAAAAGTTAAAAATTATCTACAGAGATCATAAAAAATAACTCTTCATTCTCTTCCTCAAATTAATTACATTTGGAAACTCTTCTTCAAGCTAATTTATCTACAAACAGCAGTAATTCATTAGATCATGCTTTCACTAAAGAATGCACATAAAGGTCACTCTTGTGCACAACCCTACTTTATTGACAAATCAACTTAGAATACTACTTAGTGCTAGACATACTGAGTGTACAGAAAATCATTTATATTTATTAGCCACTTTCTCCTCTGGACCTACTCATGAACACTTATTTCTGATCTTTTATTTAAACACAAATCAAACAAATTCCGTAAAATACTGAACTTCAATTAGTTTAATTTAATAATTTGATTCAATATCGTTATTCACATGCAACAGCAACCTTCCAATAATCTGTAGCTAAGAATGTCAAACCAATCTAAATTCTGCTGATAATTTACTGTTTAAAAGTACTGTTTTAAAGTTTAATTTTCCTTTTCTCAGATTTATTTTTCCAATGCACAACTATACCTTAAGGTTTATTAATGTATGCAGTTATGGTGAATTCTCTGAGTTATGCACTCTACATATATTATGATGTTCTTAAGGTTTTCAGACAGTGAATTACTTCTTCCATATGAGTTCTGTCTCAGATGAGATATCATCTAATACAGTAGTACCAGCCTACAGAGCATTTCAGCAGCATACTAGTTAGTATTTTGCACAGCTGCTGTCAATATATAGGGTAGGATCAAACTGTATTTGAAATCTAATCTTACTGACATTCATGCTACCACGTCAACATTGACTTAATTTTCAGTTCTTAGCTACTACCAACCCAAGATGCACGAGACCTAACTAGGCTCTGGGGGTCTTTTATTTAGTACGCTAGAAGTTTTTAAGTTTAAGATTGAACATTAAATTTTTGAAGGGGAAAAAACCCCACTAATATTTTTCTTATTCCAGTTAAGAAACACAGTAAAAATTATGAACCTAAAGCCTACAAACAGGTGAAACAGGTATAACTTGTGACTGCAAGAAAGAACATGGCAAATAAATGGAACTGAAACTGAAAAGACTCAAAAAGATTGTGGGAACTGTGAGCAGCTGGTGGAGAGATAAAACTGCTCATTTGCTTCACAAGGTAAGAAAGTCTTCTGTTATGCGGTTCTACATAAAGCTTGCTAATTCACTTATGTTACAGTCTTCACAATATTGAATACCCTGGCTTATAATTTTTCACTCAAAATTGTAAAAAATGAAAACTGCTGATCAATATTGCAAGGAGCTAATTAGCATTTGGTCATTACCACCACTAATTTAACAAACCTACTAGTGGAATTTTTACAAAACAAGTATTGACTGGACTTAGGCAACAAAATAGCCAAAAGGAACATGTAGTGGAGATAACAGACGGTTGTATCTCATAGAAAAGCAGTTCTTGGCTGTCTAGTAGACCAAGAGAACTACTGAATGCAGTTTTACCTACTGAAGTGAAAGAGCGAAGCATTGATAAGTTGGAAGATTCTGCAAAGTGAGACCTTTCAGTGCCATCGTCAATAAACCATGTTAGTAATTATTTAAACTTCCATCTCAAGCCTTCCCAGAAGCTGTTAAAGATGCATTTAATTCAGAAGCACCCTCTACTTGTCCTCAACAGATAAAGAATAGCAAAGATCAATCACTGATTATGCCATTAAAACTAGAGAAATACAAAGACTTCATCTGGATAAAAAAATTGCAGTCGTCTTTATATTCGTAATACAACCTTCAATGGAGCACAAAATGAGAAATTTAAAAGAAATAATTGAACGGCTTCTCCCTGAATATGAGTCTCTTCATTTAAATTTTCAAGTCCAGTAGTATATGTTGAACATTAAGAGAACTACAATACTTTAAAGTAACAATAATGCAATATGCATCTCTGCTTTGCTGTGTAGGAAAAAATGCTCAGATTTATGTTTTGTCAGAGATGCTGACATAATAAAAAATAGGTTAGCTTTCCTGATTCCCAAACTGCTCTTATTTTCGTATCTGAAAAGGAATTTACAAATAATTTTGTCCAAAACTGAAGCTGCCACCTGAGAAAGCAAAATAAAGACAGCAAGTTGGGCTCTGCACAA